ACAGATAGGCTCAGAACTACAGCCTTGATGCCATTTCAGAAGGCAGTATTGCTACTACTCTGGTGAAGTCAACAGACCTCCAAAAGGATTGTTATGTTGGCCTCATTCAGTCATTCTGCTCAGTGTAGCAAGCCTCACTTAGAGAAGGAACCAGGAATGTGGTGACAAGGTCGGGTCATTTTCTGTTCTGTTTTCTCTGTATTTAAAAGAGATGCATCAGATTCACCACTGACAGCCTATACACAGTTGCGGAGGCATCTATGAATGGTCAGAAGTGGTTTTGTTTAAAGGAACAAAAAGCTTCCCACAGTGAATGTCCTGGTTACAGAGCTGAGATTCAGTGGTGCTCTCACTGAAAATGACCTTGAACGGGATGTCCGACATTCTGTCATTCATCTCAGAGCTTTCGTAGTGACTTAAACTAACTTGTGTCACCATGGAGAATAAGAAGGCAGTGCCTTTTATTTTTGTCTTGGAAAAACAGGGGATGAAATTCTTGAAATTATTTGTGGCTGTTCCATTCTCTCTGTCACATTTCAATCTTTTATGTTGCAAGGTTACAAGGAAGCTTATATTTTCTTTCAATAATATTTTCAGAAGAAAGGAGCTTACTCAGATTCTAGAAAACATTTATATACATACACAGAAATGCATATATATGTGTATATATATATATAAATAACTATACACAGACACATGCACAAACATATATAGACATGTACATACACACATCTAAAGACATAGAATATTTGCATGAAAAGTTAGCATATGTAATTAATTATGCTACATTTAAGAAATTATCTCTAACAGTCCAGAAACAAAGGATCCTAGGATCACCAAGGGAGAAGAGCACAAGTGGAATGTGATACCTTACCCAGAGAAGCAGTGACACCAGAGATGGAGGCAGAGATGGGGACATGGAGAGAGGGAGCAGCTGAGGACTCTAGACTCATAGAAAGAGAGGGACTGAGAACTGGCAGCCAGAAGGCAGGCCTCCAGAATGTGCCCTTTGGTGGTTAAAATTATTATATATGCCTGAGTGTTTAAAAAAAGAGCTAAAATGAATACAGAGAAATACTGTTATCTGTTGGTACATAGAGGTGATTAATAATCATTGTAATGAAGCAAAGTATATGATTTGTTGAATGTAAAACTGATAATCTGCCCTGTAAACTTTCACCAAATCCACAATAAAAACCCTTTAAAAAAAAAAAAAAGATATTTGCAATGAAAAAAAAAAAAAGATCTCTAAACGCAAATGAGCAATTTAATACTTAATACCTCGGAACATTATAAAAGACTTAATTTGGTTTACTCTGATTTGTCTTGGAGGTGAACATTGTTGTTGTTAGGTGCCGTCAAGCCGGTACTGACTCACAGCGACCTTGTATACAACAGGACGATTCACGGCCTGGTCCTACACCATCTCACAGTTGATAAGCTTGAGCCTGTTACTGCTGTCACTGTACCAATCCATCCTGTTGAGGGTCTTCCTCTTTTTCACTGACTTTCCACTTTAGCAAGCATGATGTTCTTCACCAGGGACTGGTCCCTCCTGATAATATGTCCAAGGAGATGAATATGGGAATCTTTTTTAATAAATGGAGCATTTACTTCACTTATTTGTATCCTCATATCCTTATTGCTTCTATTTTTCATAAAAGACAAAACCTGTCTGTGAACGAAGAGCAAAATCATTATTTCCATTTTTTTAATGTTTTAAAATTACACAAGTTAGAGAAGACAAAATTGGAAATGCAAGAAAAGTGAAAGACAAATAATCCCTTGGGTTTTCATTGCTGTTTTAAGATTTGTGTGATACATTATACTGGCTTCAAAGCACAAACTCCGTAGCGCTTTGCATCCTGCTCTGTCCATTAAAATTTTATCTTAATAATTTGTCCAAGTTTCTACATAGTCATGAGCACTATCTTTTTTAATGGTTGACTAATATTCGATGGGCCACTATGGGTCGGAACCGACTCGATGGCACTTAACACCAACAGCAATATTCAATGGAGTCCTGGTGTGGCGCTGTGGGTTAATGCGCTAGAGTGCAAAGTCAGTTAGAACTGTAAGGTCGGTGGTTCAAGCTCACCAGGTGCTCCTTGGAAACCCTTTACAGGGTCGCCATGGGTTGGAATCCACTCAACGACACTGAACAACAATATTGTATTGTGCATATAATCCATCTTTGTTTTTTGTTTTGTTTTCAATACATTCTCTTGTAATTAATGTTTTTGTTAAGTGCTGTGGAGTCGGTTCCAACTCATAGCAATCCTGTATAGCGTTTTCGAGGCTGTACATCTGAGCAAAAAGCCTCACCTTTCTCCTGCAGAATGGCTGGTGGGCTTGAATCGCCAACCTTGTGGTTCTCAGTTCACTGCTTAACCTAAGAGTCACCATACTCCCTTTGTTACTAAATAAACTCAGTGAAAAGCACCCATAACTCTGGATGGATGGAAGATGTACATGGCACTGTAGCTCATCTCGACGTGAACAATAACCCTGAACAAGTTTCTCTCTTTTGCCTGTCCCGTCATTTGTTTCTTTAGTACTTCTATTAAGGGGCTTCAAAGTTTTTCTAAAAACTTTTTGAAGCCCCCTTGGAGATGCAGCTGCCGCACCCAAGTCTAACAAATCTGTATTTCATAAATCATATAGTAATGTATTACAGTTAAAAAAGAGACATAAATGAGATCGGTTGATTGTTAGTTTTCACTATACATGCAGCCCTGGTTAAGTAGTGGAACTGTTAACAACAAAGTTGTGGTTCAAACCTACTCAGAGACTCCTCAGAAGAAAAGATCAGGTAATCTGTTTCAGCAATGATTGCTGTTGTTGTTATGTGCTGTGGAGTCGGTTCCGACTCATAGCAACCCTGCACAGGGTTTCCCAGGCTGTAAATCTTTACGGGAGCAGAACGCCTTATCTTTCTTCCGCGGAACAGCTGGTAGTTTTGAACTGCTGACTGTGAGATTAGCAGCCCGGTTAATAATACTATGCTACCAGAGCCTCGGAAACGCTAACAGGCAATTCTACTCCGTCCTAAAGTGTTACTGTGAGTTGGAATGAAACTTCATAGCACATAGCAGTAACAGTCACTATATCATGACTGGAATATGCTAAGTATAAAATCTGCCTTCATCCTCAACCTTCTTCCACCTTGTCCAATCAAAAGGATTCAATCTCATCTCCTGCCTGTAGCAGAATGTTAGTATCGATCTCAAATGTGCTTATCCTATTCTACTGTTAGTTGTACTGACCTATGGACCCGAACAACTCCTCCACCCACAATGGTAAACTCTCAGTGGGTAGAAGGGCCCTCTCATTTCTCACTGGCCCCTAGTTGGCTGACATGAACACGTGATCTTGTTTGATTGTTTATGTTTGCAGAAGGCAGTATCGGGAAGTGTAAGCCTGTTAAAGATTACCCGTGGTGTCACCAGGGAGCATGGGGGTGGGGACCACACCTGATGACACCATCAGAGGGGTGATACCAAGTGACTGTCTCTAGAATTTGTGTGCAGCGTTCCAGCATAAATATATTGCTTTTTATAGAACTCTCCTTGTAGAATGGCACTGTAGGGTAAGCACTCGACTGCTAACTGCAATGCAGACAGTTCAAACCTACCAGCCGCTCCTTGGAAAGCCTATAAAGGGATGCTGTGAATTGGCACTTAACAACAACAACATCCCTGTAGTTAATTATAACAACAAAAACTTTTTTTCATCAGCCCAGCTTACATGGATCAATATACCTACAAGACTAAAATTCTGTGTAGATATACTTTTTGAGCCTTCTAATGAAGTCCTGGAGTCCTGGTGTGGCGCTGTGGGTTAATGCACCAGACTGCAAAGCTGTTTGAACTGCAAGGTCGATGGTTCAAACTCACAGCTGCTCCTCGGAAACCCTACACAGGGTTGTTATGGATCAGAATCGACTCGACAGCACTTCACAACAACAACAATGAAGTCCTGATGTGGTGCCATAGGGTAAACACTGGACCGCAAGGTGATTCAGTCTCACCAGCTGCTCCCCAGAATCCCTAGACAGGGTCTCTGTGAGTTGGACCCAACTCAAAGGCACTTAACAACAGCAATAATTACAGTGCGTTCTGGTCAGAGCTGTCAGTATTAGCCAATTACAGTGATGCTGCAAATCACGTGGTTTCATCTACATACTCTATAAGCCTGAGCTGTTGTTCTCACTGCTCCCAGTGTTTTTATAGTTACTGACTTTGTAAAAATATTTGGTGTTTTAGCGACAATATGATAGTCACGAAGTCCTAGTGTGGTACTATAGATAAGCACTCAGCCTCATGGTCCATTTGAACAGCAAGATCTACAGTTCAAACTCACCAACCGATCTTTGGAAACCCTAATACACGGTCACTATGAGTCGGAACTGACTCAACAGTACTTATCAACATGGTAGAATTTCTGAACATATATCAAAAGCTTTTTTTGAGAATGAAATAGTAATTAAAGGAAAACAACAAGAAGAAAAATCCGAAAAAGGCCATTGGGCAGTTATTAATATGAGGTCTCGAGGAAGCATCCCATTACCTTCTAATTCCATGTCCCCATGAACTTTTTTGAAGTACCCTCTTAATGTCATATCTAGTTACACTGTATTTCTATGTTGGTGTTGTTAAGTGCCATCAAGTCGGTTCCAGCTCATATCAACCTTGTATAGACTTTCCAAGGAGCGGCTGGTGGATTTGAACTGCCAGCTTTGCAGTCCACTAAAACCCATTTTGTTGTTAACATTCATATAATCTAAGAAATACTACTACCTATAATAGATTTACAGTTATAGTGATTGCATGATTTTATGATTTATATTGATAATAAACCCAACTCAGGGGTCCAGATGGTATGGTAATGGCGGATGTCCTTGGGGGCGTTGTGGGGACACCGTGAGTTACCACATTGGGTGACAACCCTAGTGACGATGCCACTGAAAGACGTTTACTCTCTTGTTTTTCTTCCACCAGTGGGATGGAGTAGGACCTCTTCCAGATTGTGCAGAACCACCAAAAGGGATCCAAATGCTGTGGCACCCATCAATAGTCAAACCCTACCTCACACTGCTCTCCGAGTGCTCAAATCCAGACACGCTGGAAGGGGCGGCAGGTGCCCTGCAGAACTTGGCTGCAGGGAGCTGGAAGGTATGACTAGTTCATTACAATAAAAGAACTCTGCAATGGATGAGATCCAGTCCTTAGAAAATAATGGAAGCCCAGTTTGGAAACATATAGTTCTAGTCAAGCTTTTAAGGGCACTAGAGAGAAACCGACTATATTGAACTGTTGCACTTAGAAAGGTTTTTTTTTTCTTCAAAAATAATCATCTCAGGGGTTCAGGGGTTCTTCAAGACAACCACTCTAAAGCCCAGAGGAGTAGATGTAAGTATAGGTATTGAAATGCGGCCATCAGATTTCCATTGTCCTTCATTTTCAGCGGAGACTAGGGCACTTTGAATTGGTGAGAAGGGTTACCGTTGTCTGTTAGGGAAGCTACTACCTAAGCACAGGCCCCTGTGAACCTTAATCTTACTGCCCCAGCTTCCATCCCCACAGTTTGAGGGGTTCTGTCCTCAGTTTGAGGTCGCTGAAGAGAAAACCCAATACCCAGAAAAGAATAGCATTGCTAATATCTTTGACAAAAAGGTTAAATTCACCTTCATTTATGATTGGGGAGGAACCTAGGCAGACCTTTATCTCAGAGTCTTTGTAAGCACACCCCAGTTCCTGACTGATTTTCATGGAAAGTTTCCGCACCCCCTCATTTTGGGTCAAAAAGAGATTCTTCAAAACAAAGGATTTGTAGAGTTGGGTCACCACCATTCTTTGTGCATACACACACACACACACACACACACACAAGTGTAACCTCTTTGATGAATGAAGACTTATGGGGATAATCTCAGAAGAGTAAGTTTGGACATCTGCTATTCATTTTCTATCCACTTAACATCCAAGTGTGAAAATTGGATATATTAATAAATCACTCTTTTCTTTAATACTTTCTTCACAGTTCTGATATGGTGCTATAGGATAATATAGCACCAGGTCAGTGGTTCAAGCACTGGTTCACATAGACTCATAGCTAGGAAATCTCAGCAGCTCAGTGCCATAGCTAAGTAATCCCAGCATCATGACAGAACTACATGCTCCTTTCTTGTGATACCTTCCCAAATTGGCCTCCTTGTCACTTCTCTCTGGCACCACCCACCATTGGCATTGTTACAGTCCCTGATGTAGCATGTCCTTCTTTCTCAGGTGTGACATCCCAACTCTTCTGACATGACCTTTGGTCAGTTCTTCTATTGCGAATAGAGTAGAGAGTACAAAGAAAGAAGAGGAGGGTCTCAAACAGCCAAAGCTGACACCATGAAATGAAAGGTCTTCACTAAGACACCTTCCTTTGTCCAGCACATCCCTCATTGTGCATTCCAGAAGCAGTTACTCAGCTAGTTGACAATGTTCAACATCCAAGGTCACTCCCAGTACATGTCAGCATACAAACAACACATGAGAAACTGTGAGGAGGGCCTCTTACAAGGAGTCCTGGTCTGGCACTTTAGTATAAGTACTGGACTGCTAACCACAAGGTCAGCAGTTCAAACGCACCAATAATTCTTCAGAAACCCTATGTAGGGTTGTTATGAGTCAGAACCTATTCAGTGCCACAAATCTCTTATAAGGAGTTCTGATATGGTGCTATAGGATAAGTTGTTGTTGTTGTTGTTGTTGTTATGTGCTGTGGAGTCGGTTCCAACTCATAGCAACCCTGTACAGGGTTTCCGAGGCTGTAAATCTTTATGGGAGCAGAAAGCCTCATCTTTCTCCCATGGAACAGCTGGTAGTTTCAAACTGCTGACCATGCGATTCACAGCCGGATATGTAACCACTACGCTACCAGAGCTCCTTAAAGTACTGGACTCTTAATCACAGGGTCAGTGGTACAACCCACCAGCTGCTCCTCAGAAACCATATACAAGGTCATTAGGAGTCAGAACCAACTTGATAGCACTTTACAACAACACACACTTGGATAAGCAGGCATACAGGCTAACCATCATAAGGAGGAGTGGGTACACTGACAACAATGAGGAAAAAGAAAAGATTTAAACAAATAAAAACGTGGGGATGCAACAAAGGAAACCTGTAAGTCTCTTCTGTGTCTCTACTGTGCCATATACTCATTGCTGCCCTTCACATGGACCCTGTGTCGTTAGGAGAATGCCAAAAGATGGCCGGTAATTCTAGGAGACAGAGAACACCTTAGAAAGCCTTCCATCCCGATGGTTAGAGTTTGGACTCTTCATGTTGCCAGTCTCAGTGATGAGAAGTCCTGGCTTCCATGATCATTATAGAACAGAATCATGCTCAAACAGGGCAAGGGGCTACAAAGGCCTATTTCAGTGTGATTATGAAAGCCTCGACATAAGGGGTTTCTTATCACAATACGGACTCACAAACATGCCTACGAGTTCATCACATTACTGAAATCTATTCTATACATCTCTTTGAAGTGTTCAAGAGCAAAGATGTCAGTTTTAAGACTAAGACGCACCTGACCCAAGTCATGGTATTTTCAATGTCCTCATATACATGTGAGCAAGGGAGACTGTAGAAGAATTGATGAATTTGAGTTACAGTGTTGGGGGAGAATATTAAAAGTACCATGGACTGCCTGAAGAACAAATAAATCTGTGTTAGAAGAAATACAGTCAGAATGTTCCTTAGAAGCCAGGATGGTGAGACTTTGTCTAGCAAACTTTGAACACATTATCAAGAGGGGCTAATCCCTGGAGAAGGACATCATACTTGGCAAAGCAGAGGGTCATTGAAAAAGAGAAAGACCCCGGCAGAGATGGATTGGCACAGTCGCATCAGCAGTGGGCTCAAGCATTTTAACGAGGATGGAGCAGTATCAGACAGTGTTTTGTTCTGTTGTGCATAGCATTGCTACGAGTCAAAATGGACTCACTAGCACCTAACAACAGCATCAATAGTTATAAAGTTTGTTAGTTTGCCATATTACTTAGGGAGCAAGGATGGAAAACCCATAGGGAAGGTTTGAGAAGATTGTCATTAAGCCAAACAGTGATTATTATAATTTCAAAAATCCTTCAGAATACCTAGTACAGAAAGCAAACAGACTAATTTTCACTTCAAAAAGCCTTGATTTAAAAAAAAAAAAAAAAGAATTTAATAATTGAAAGATTGAATTCGGGTACACAGTGACATCCTGTTTCATGTGGACATGTTAACATCTGAAATCGAGAGTCCTAAAAATGGGTTTAATGGTAAGTATTGAAATTGAGTGGTATTATTTAGTAGTCTTAACTTTTTATGGTCCTAACAAAATCAGAAATGTGGAGGTAAAACAGTAGAATTTTTCATGAAGACAGCTTTTCACAGAATTTTTCAGCTGAAACAATAACTGCTCTTTATGAGAAGATCATATGCACTCTTCCTCCATGGGACATTGACTACCAAAGTAGACCTTCATAATGGCCCTCAACACTTTTAAAACTTGAAAACACTCATTACTTGGTTTATGAGCAGCAGAAAAAGATAATGGCATTATGACAGAAGCAAAATGATAAATGTTTTCATAGCCAACCTGGCCTTCCATTACCTTTTTCTTATTTGCAGTACAATTTTAATTTTCATCACAGAATATTAAAACATGTGGATGTAATCATTTGAAGATTTCTAAAGCTTGAAAAAACGTGCTTTAAATTCTCATTTTTCACTTAGTCTTACTGTAACAGAGCCTTATGAAACCTAGTTTTAAACAGTAGAAATGTATCAGTCTGATGTGCTATTAAGGCAAACATTCTAGATATCTCTGTATGAGCACATATATATAGTTTTATATATAGTTTTCTCCTAAAACCTGACTGTTCTTTAAGAACTTGTTGAATTGCCCATTTGTTTTTAAATAAAATGGAATAAAGCAATATTTAGATAATAATCTATTAACATGTAGTGAGGTAACATGATACTAAAATGGGTTTAGTGAAAAAGGAAACAATATTTGTCTATATGGCCCAAAGTAATCAAAGATAACTGGGGAATGTGATACTTGTCTCTGGAGACAGGAACCACAACTGTAAGAGGAACACCTAATTTAGTGTAGGTTAGCAGGCTGTGTGTGGTGTGAATGTGAACCAGTGGAGATCCGTGGAGTGTAACAGATAAAAGTAAGAATCATCGTATGACATCTATGACAAAGAGAATTTTCTTTGCCCTAGTTAACAGCGTAATGGAAGACATAAACTTCCAACACACAGAAATGAGTGTTTGGAAAGATCCTATTGCAAATAGGGAGTGAAGCAGAAGGTCTCATGGCTCTGAAATTGGGTCTGAGGAAGCCAGAGGTTATCTAGGAACTCTGCCCAGCCATCAGTCTGTTAGGAACAATAAACACAGATGGAGACGATGACCATCCTGAAGCAGAACAAGAAGGAGTCCAATCTAAAAAGGAGAAAGAAAGGAGTAGGGTCATGGCCAAGTCATTGGAACTGCTCTTACCTAATTTTGTGACTTCTTGACTACAAGGACCCAGTACTGTTAGCAGGGACTGTACCTATATTTAGAATACACCTATAAGTGGCTCAAGCATGGCAACAGCTGTGAGGTTGGCCCAGGACCGGGCAGTGTTTCATAGGGTCACTATGAGTCGGTATTGACTCAATGGCACCTAACAACAACAACAACATAAATGGACTATAGAAAAAACCTATATTCAGTGCTTCAGTGTTAGTTTAATCCTTTACATTGAACAATCTTGACTTCTACAGTTCCAAGTTACAGGGCTCTAATCTGAGGTTGTCTATACAACTTCACCTTGGGGATTTCCACTTCCAGCCAAGATTCCAAGACGGAGAGGATTAGGGCCTAGATTTACTGCCCTTCAAACAAAACAGGACCAAAATAAAGATATGGAATCGTGATTTTTAAGACTTTGGCATTAATTGGACCACACATCACTACAAAGAATAGTGATTTCTGAGAGACAGAACAAATGACGTGAGCCCTCTGACTGTCCCAGCTTGTGGACTTGAGAGCATTTCCCAGGCCATGGAGAGAGCAAGCCTGGAAGAGCCCAGCAGACTCCCTGGGTTGAGCAGATGGCGCTGAGAGCTCAGAGA